ACTCAGATGACTTAGGATTCATTGTAACATTTCCTTATCTTAAAATCATTTTAAAACTATTTTATTTATTTTATTTAAAATTTCAGGGAGCCATAGGGTTCCTTTTAACATTCCTTTATCTTAAAATCATTTTAAACCTTTATTTTATTTATTATATTTAAAAGTTTAAGGGAGCCACCTAATTAAAAATAAGGAGGTAATACAAAGATTATTAGATACATTTTTATTTCTTCCCCCTTCTAGAGTTTGTCAAGATTTTGAGGGAAGAGATTTATTTAATACAAATTATTCTGTATATCTACCTATGTTTTCTTTAGCATTAGTAAAATTATAAATGTGATCCTATAGAACACAGAGAAAGGAAAGCTCTTAACCTTTGGTATTTGGTGGATGTTACAGACATTTGATGGGGAAAATATCTGTAGATGGAAATGTAGGCAGCTGTAAATTTAACCATGCTATTAAAAGGACAAGAGTTTGTAATAATTGCTCAACAACACACAATCCAAGTAGCATATATACAATTTAAACACAATTTTATATTCTGGAAGAATGAAGATATATGTAAATTACCTGATTCAAAAGTGAGATGGATCATATGATAGAGTATTTAGAAGTTTAAGTTCTTTTTTATTATTAATTATTTTTTATTTTGGTAAGAGACATATAAAATGAGATCTACCCTATTAACAAATTTTTATTTGCACAGTACAGTATTGTTAACTATATGCGTATTGTTGTACAGCAGATCTGTAGAATTTTTTCATGTTGCATGATTGGAACTGTATACCCACTGAGCAACTCCCCAGTTCCCCGTCCCCGTAAGCCCTGGCAGCCACCACTCTACTTTCCACTTCTATGAGTTTGACTACTTTAGAAACCTCATGTAAGTGGAATCATGTGCTATTCATCCTTCTGTAACTTATTTCATTTAGCATAATGTCCTCAAGTTTCATCTATGTTGTAGCATGTGATAGATTTTCTTCTAAGACTGAATAATATTCCATTGTATGTATATACCACATTTTATTTATCCCTTCATCCATTGATGGACATTTAGGTTGTTTCTATCTCTTGGCTATTGTGAAAAATGCTGCAATGAACATGTGAATGGAAATATCTCTTCAAGATCCAATTTTCAATTATTTTGAGTAAGTAACAAGAAGTGGGATTGCTAGATCATTTAGTAGTTATATTTATAATTTTTGAGGAAACTCCACACTGTTTGCCACAGTGGCTGGCAAACATTTTACATTTCTACCAACATGCACAGAGGTTCCAATTTCTCCATATCCTTGCCAGCACTTGTTATTTTCTGCTTGTTGCTAATGACTATCCTAACAGGTGTGAGGTGATATCTCATTGTAGTTTTGATTTGCATTTTCCTGATGCATGCAATTCTTGAGCATTTTTTCATATATTTGTTGGCCATCTGTGTGTCTTCTTTGGAGAAATGTCTATTCAAGTCCTTTGCCCATTTTTAAATTGGGTTATTTGTTTTTTTGCTATTAACTTGTAGGAGTTCCTTATATATTTTGGATACTAACCCCTTATGAGATATATGATTTGCAAATATTTTCTCCCATTCCAAAGGTTGCCTTTCACTCCATGGATTGTTTCTTTTGCTACACAGAAGCTTTTTAGTTTAATGAAGTCCCACTTGTCTTATTTTTGCTTTTATTGCTTGTGCTTTTGGTGTCATATCCAAGAAGTCATTGCCAAGACTACTGTTATTCACTTATTTCACTGCTTTTCACTTATTTCTTTTCTAGAAGTTTTATATTTTTGGGTCTTAGGTTTAAGTGTTTAATTCATTTTGAGTTGATTTTTGTGTATGGTGTAAGATAAGGGTCCAATTTCATTCTTTTCTGCGTATGTATATCTAGTTTCCCCAACACCATTTGTTGAAGAGCCTGTCTTTTTCCCATTGTGTAGTCTTGGCACCCTTGTTGAAGATCAGTTGACTGTATATGTGTGGGATTATTTGTGGCTTCTTTATTCTACATTGGTCTATATGCCTATCTTATGCCAGTATCCAGCTATTTTGATAACTGTAGCTTTGTAGTATGTTTTGAAGTCAGGGAGTGTGAGGCCTTCAGCTTCTTGTTTTCCAAGATAGTTTTGGCTATTCAGCTTTTATGGTTCTGTGTGAATTTTAGGATTTTGTTTTTTCTATTTCTGCAAGAAATGCCGTTGGGATTTTGACAGCGATTGTGTTGAATCTGCTTTGGGTAGTATGGATATTTTAACAATATTAAGTCTTCCAATCCACGAACACAGGATATCTTTTCATTGATTTGTGTCTTCTTTAATTTCTTTCGGCAATGTTTTGTAGTTTTCAGTGTGCAAGTCTTTTGCCTCATTGGTTAATTTTATTCTCAAGTATTTTATTATTTTGAGGCTATTATAAACAGGATTGTTTTCTTAATTTCCTTTTGAAATTGTTGGTTGGTGGTGTATAGAAACCCAACTGATTGTTGTGTGTTGATTTTGTATCCTGCAACTTTGCTGAATTTTTTTATTAGTTCTAACAGTTTTTTTATGTTGTGCCATCTTTAAGGTTCTATACGTATAAGATCATGTCATCTTCCTGCACAGATAGTAGTTTAACTTCTGTATTGTGTTGGGTTTTAGAGTAATTTTGATTAGGACAGTGATAATAATAATTTGCCTGTGTATATTTCTTTATGCCTTTCTTCTCCTAAATATGACTGAGTTTTGTAGTTCAAGGACACATTCAAACGCTTTAGACCACAGTCTTTCTACCTGTGGAAGAGATATCTAAGGGTTAAAAAGAAGATTCAGGGCATAATAACATTTGACCTCTACAAAGCAACTTTATTAAGTGTATGTTAATGAGATAGCCACTTTACAGAAGAGAAACTGAGGCTGAAGCTTTGACACTTACTTGTATGACATAATTAATAAGTGGCACTGCCATGACTCAAGCTGTGTCTTCTCATCCACGTATCTTGCTGAGTAAAGGGACAGACTATGCATTTTAACTTAGTAGTGCCACTTTTTCCTTGCTAATTTTCTTTTAGTTCTTTTAATAATAAACTTTGCTTTTTATATCTGAGCTTTAACCAACAAATGGCCGGGAAAAGTGATGAAACATCTTCTGTAGTAAGGATCGGGTAGCCTGGGAGAACCACACTTACTGAGTTAAGTGTCAGAATGATTACCACAACTTGACTATAGGTGTCTGCACTTTTTGCATTATAAACAGGTGCTATATAATAGATTTATTTAATATTTGAATTATATGCTGTCTTCTGGTTTTTTTTTTTAATTTTAGCGAGTTTTTTTGTTTTACCTTATCAGAACAGTGTTGTTTGTGTACATCTGTGGATTAAATATATTTAATTATTTTAGTTCCGCTTTAGGACATCCAGTACCAGCATTCTCTGTGGCTTACTGTAGTTTTCAATCATTACAGAATTTATTTTTAAACTGCCATGAAGTATAATTTTTTCATTGAAACACATTCAACTCTCAAATGATTATTTAGCATCTAAACTGATCCTACTTAGAAGTACATGGTTCGCATTAATAAAATCTTAACAAATTTTCATTTTTCTAAGGGTTCTTGTAATGTTACATTTATCAAGGGCCCCAGATGATTCATGGAAAGTGCTGAATTATGTATTTTTGACCTTGAGCATCTTTGTTTTGCTCTAAAGTTGCTTTTATCCGCCTACTCATCTGAATAAATATTGCTTACTCCTACTTTAAATTTATTTTGTTGTGCAAACATATCTATGTTTCTAAATAAATATTTATATAGTATCAGACTGTTTTTACAGCTCTATTTTGTTTTCAAAGTCATCATCTTTCTGTCTTCATTTAACTGAAGATATGCAGAACCATTTATAATTTATTGAGGATTTGAGGAGATGAGAGTTCACCTGCTGGTAGCTATGGCTCTATAATATGGTAATATCTCAATTTGATTTAGTCTCTTTCAGAGAGAAAGAACTGTTCTTTCAAATTGTTGAATGAAGATTATGAAGATGACTGGCTGCAGCAGAGGAATTATTCTTGAATTAAGGATACTTAAAGCAGCCTAGGTTCATGCAGCACATATCATGTCTTAGAAAAGCAACAGGAAAACCCATTATGGAGTGGTTCTGACCACTAACCTTGGCTGAACCAATGAACTAATTACACTCTGTCTGTGCCTTTGTTGAAATGGCCCTAGAGACATCAATCACACAGATCTTGAGGCTGTGCAGCTGATAATTTGCTATTTCAGATGACTGATAATTACTTCCAAGAAATTAGACAGGCTTAGTAAGGGGAAAATATAATTGCTTTTCCAGCAGTTTCATCTTATGATCAACAGAAATGAGAGAGTAAATAAATGTCCACATCTTGTTGGAAATTTTGAAGTTTTCATGATGTTTTTATCTTTCAGTTTTGGGGGGCTTATTTTAAGAAAAATTTTTATTGTATATGACATTTTGGTACCACCTTTATTGATTATATTTTAGTTATTATTTAAGATTTCTTTTTTTTCAACTTTGATGTGATATTCACTGTTAAACTTAGTCTCAATTTACAACAAATATATTAATGGAATGTTTCAAGTGGTCCCAGAGCCACATCAACTAAATACTCCACTGTCCTGAGTCTGAATAAGGGTGACCTGTAAGTTGGCTACTGGCTCCCTGAGAATGAATTAGAAAGGTGTCCATAAGGAACAATCTTATGAATGCCTGATTATTTATCTCATAATGTTATTTTATGGTTAGCCCTAGTGATACCATTAAGTGTGCTGAAATTCTGGTAAGAGAGACATAAGAAGAAATTTACTTAGAAAGGAAAAATCCTTATAAAATGCAAATATATACTCTTGTCTAACACCAAAAAACTCAAGGCTTTATTTATGAAGTTCATGTCTTCCACAAAAATTAAAGAATGAGATCTTATGTTTTTCAGGAAATATGCATGTCATCTTTTTAAAAAAATCGAATATATGTATCTTTTTTTCCTTTCAGCTTGTGGAGAAACTCTACAAGAATCCAATGGCAACCTTTCCTCCCCAGGATTTCCAAATGGCTACCCTTCTTATACACACTGCATCTGGAGAGTTTCTGTGACTCCAGGGGAGAAGGTAGTTTATACCATCCAGAGTTCTCTTTTAGTCTCATATAAGTGCAAAGGTTCATCTTCTTTTGAATGTAATTTGCTTTATTTTTATTCTTGTTTGATTCCTCAAATAAGAGACTACAAAAATTCGCAAGTTTATAATGGAAATTGCTCAAATTCTGGGAATCTTTTGAATGATGTAATTTTAAAAGAAACGGTAAATGCTCTAAAAGAGTTGAGGTAATACCGATTATGTTCTTAGACACAATGAAATTAAGTTAAAAATCAGTATCAGAAAGATAACTAGAAAAATCCCCCACATTTTAAAATTAAGAAATATGCATAAAATATTCAGTTCAGCCAAGAAGAAATTATAATGAACATTAGAAATTATTTTCAACTATAATACAACAAAAATACTGAATAGCAAGCCTGTAAGATGCAACTAAAGCAGTACTTAGAAGGAAATTCACAGACTTAAATGCTCACATTAGGAAATAAGAAATACCCCAAACTAATGAGGTAAACATCTATGTAGAGAGACTAGAAAAAGAGCAGTAAAATAAATGGAAAAGTACTTAAAGGAGGAGGTAATAAATAAAAGATAAATTTAACAAATGAAAATAACATGATACAAACGATGAACAAAGTTGGTACTTTGAAATAACTTAGAAAAATGGGGAAATGGATGGAAAGAAATCAAGAAAAAAAAGATTAACAGAGAAAGCACAATTATCTAATATTTAGAATAAAAAGATTATTATAACTATAGGTGCTTTAGATACCAAAATGAGAATAAAAGAATATCTTGAACATTATGCCAATAACTTAAAAAATGTAGATGAAATGGGCAAATTACTACAAAATATTATTTACTATGTTGCTACTTAGGAAGAAATAAAAAGTTTGAATAATCCTATAACCACAAAGCAATCAAACTAATATTTAATTTAATTACTAGATTTTTTTCAACAATGAAAATCCAGGCTCAGATGGCTTAATCAGTGAGTTCTACCCATAAACCAAATAAGAAATAAATATAATGTTATGTAAACAATTCCAGAGAATGAAAAAGAAGATATGCTCTCCTATTTATATGGCTAGTAAAACCTTGATAGTAATCTTAACAAGAACAGTTTAAGAAAGGAAAATTTAAACCCAGACTCACTCTTGAATATGAATGTAAAATCACCCCAAAATTACCAAACCAAATGCATATGTATATGCATGTATATGTTTGTTTAAGTATGTGTGTGTATATGTATATGTATTATATATTATTTATATATGTTCCAAATGCATATATATGCATGTATATGTATATATATGTATTCTATATTATTTATATATGTTTGTGTATGTAAGTATGTGTGTATATATAATGTGTACATATATACAAACACCATTAAATGAATATCTCAATTAAACTAAGAAAAAAACTCTACTAATGATTTAACAACAACAACAAACCATGAGCAAACTAGGAATGGAAAAATACTTTCTTAATCTTATAAAGAGAATCAATAAAAATTATTGCAAATACTATTATTATTGGGGAAATTCTGAAAGTATTTCTTTTGAGATAGGTAAAAAACCAAGTATGTCTATCTACCACACTACTTCTTTTTCAACATTTTGGTGGAAGTCTTAGCACATTAAGGCAAGAAAACATGTAGGGATTGAAAAAGAAGACATGAAATTCTGTTTATCATATTTAGTTTGATTGGTTTTATAATTTAAAATTATTAAGAAATGAATAAATCTATTAATTTCTGCATTCTGTCTTGAATGCTAACCTTAAAAGTCTTCCCAGACCAAGATTGTATTGATATTAATCTTTATTTTCTACTAGTTATTAAATGACTTTTGTCATTTGCTTTTGACTAATTCATCTGGAATGACTCACATACACTTTGAGTTTTGGTGGAAATGCAATCGCAGTTAAAGAAAGTTTGATATTTCTGATAATTGAATGTTGTTAAGAGAATCATGGATGTGGAGCTGTCCAGTGTTGCAATACCTGAATGAAACATTTCTGTAACATAAATGGATTTTATACATAAAAAGTGACAACTAACTTGAAATACATAGATGCATACATAATTCTTTATGCAGTTATTTTTAATTTAAGAATTATAAGTCTATATTGTAATATAGTTAGAGGTGTTGATTAATTTCTGTTTAGTTTCTTTGAATGTCTCTGAAAATATATTGTGAAAATCATTCTTAAATATGTACTGAAGAACAAAATATAAAAGATGATAAGGCTTCAGAGCAAGTTTAAAACTATACATATTTTTGAAAAGAAAATATTATAGAATATGAAAAGTTTTGGAACAAGATTAATCAAATTAAATCATCTCCTAAGAGCAAGATAATATCTGGAAACGAAAAGTTTCTCTTACCAATTGCAGTACCCATACTGTTAGCATCCAAAGTTAATTCACTTTTCTTGTATGTATGATTACCAATAAAACTGTATTTTCCAAAATGTTGCAAATAGGAAGAAATCAACAAATCTATCATCTTTTGTATTATTTTTTTTACTATTATATATGATGATGAGCAAATAAATTGTATTGTTATAAGTGGCCAGTGAACAATATTAGCTCATTTTTCATTCTTGTGTTTTTATTATTTTCTCTTTTTTAATGTTTGGTTTCATTCTGCTCTTCTTTTTTGCTTTTTTAGTTGGAAGTTTAACTCATTAATTTAAAGCATCTTTTCTTGTCCACTGCAAATGTTTAAGGCTATAAATTTCCTTCTAAGAACTACTTAATCCGAATTTCACCAGCTTGACATATAGTATTTTTGTTATTTTTCAATTCTAAATATCTTCTTTGTCTTTATTTCTTTTCAACCCCCCATATTTTTTAATAACATATGTTTTTCTTATTTGCAAACATATGTTGTATTTCCAAGGTTCCTTTGCTTATTAATTTCTCCCTTGGTCGCTTTTTGGTGAGAGACTATAGTCTGTATGATGTCAGTCTTTGAAATAGCTTGAGGCTGGCAGTATGGCCTTGGAAGTGACAAATATTCATAAAAATAATCTTTTAAAATGTGTTTTGTGCAATGGTTGGGTGCAAAATTCTCTATATAGGCATTAGTCTTTTTAATTGTGTTGTTTTATATTCTCTATATTATTGTTTTTGACTGCATCACCATAAAATATTTAGAAAGGCATGTTAATATTTGTCACTGGTAGATTTATTAATTGCTCTTTACAGTTTTAAAATATATTTTTACACTATATTATTATATAATGAATCTCTTCATCTCTAGTCGTGGTTTAGGTTAAAACTCTATTTTTTCTGACATTAATAAAATTACATTTTCTTTTGATTAATATTTTTGCCTGGGATATCTTTATCTTGCTTTAGACATTCAATCATTCTGTGATCTTGTGTCTCAGGTGTATCCCTTTTAAACAGCAAATACTTTGGTTTTATTTTTTATTTCATCCATGATGGCAAATGTTGTCTTTAACTAGAGTGCTTATTGCAGTTACGTTTATTGTGATTACTGATGTATTTTTACTTCTCATTTGCATTCTCTGTGTCCCACTTTGTTTCTTTTGTTCTACTTTTTGCCTTCTTATTTTCTCTCTCTCTACTGGTGTGAAAGTTTTAAATGTATAGTCTATTATTTGGTAATCTTTTTCTGTCAGGCTACTTTCTTAATAGTTATATTTAATTAGTATCTTTATCTTCCTCCCAAACCATAAAAAGATCCTAAAAGAAGATTCCAATTCAAATTATCTTCATTTTATATATTATTGTTTTGTATTTTTGTTCAAGCTTCCTGAAGCAGATGAGATATTATTATTGTTTTTTGCACTTAACATTTACTTAACTGTATGCAAATATTTACTAAATATTTTTTATTGGGATCAAAAACATGTAACAAAATTTACTATCTTAACCATTTTTATTTATTTATTTTTTTGGTGAGGAAGATTGGCCCTGAGCTAACGTCGATTGCCAATCTTCCTCTTTTTGCTGAGGAAGATTGTCCCTGAGCTAACATCTGTGCCCATCTTCCTCTATTTTGTGTATGGGACGCCACCACAGCATGGCTTGATGAGTGGTGTGTAAGCCTGTGCCCGGGATCTGAACCTGCAAACCCTGGGCCGCTGAAGCGGAGCACACGAACTTAACCACTATGCCACCAGGCTGGCTCCTTAACCATCTTTAAATGTACAGTTCATTAGTGTTAAGTGCATTCACACTATTGTGAAACATCTCCAGAACTTTTTCATCTTGCAAAACTGAAACTCTACACCCATTAAACAACAACTCTCCATTTTTCCCCTCCGCTCAGCCCCTGGTAACCGCCATTCTACTTTCTATTTCCATGAATTTGACTACTTTAGATACCTCATGTAAGTAGAATCATATGTATTTGTCCTTTTGTGACTGGCTTATTTCACTTTGCATAATGGCCTCAAGGTTTATCCATGTTGTAGCATGTGACAAGATTTCCTTCTTTTTAAGGTTGAATAATATGCCATTGTATGTGTATAACATCCTTTGTTTATCCATTCATCTATCGATGGACATTTGAGTTGCTTCCACCTTTTGGCTATTGTGAATAGTGCTGCTATGAATATGGGTATACAAATATCTCTTCTAGACCTTGCTTTCAATTCTTGTGGATATATACTTGGAAGTGGGGTTGTTGGATTATTTGTTAGCTCTATTTTTAATTTTTTGAGGAACTTCCATACTGTTTTCCACAGTGGCTGCACCATTTTACAGTCCCTCCAACAATACACACAGGTTCCAATTTCTCTACACCTTTACCAACATGTATTATTTTTTGGGTTTTGGTAGTCACCATCCTAATGGGTGTCAGGTGATATCTGTTATGGTTTTGATTGCATTTCTTTGATGATTAGTGATGTTGAGCATCTTTTCATTTACCCATTGTCCATTTGTATGTCTTCTTTGGGGAAATGTCTATTCAAGTCCTTTGCCCATTTTTAAATTGGGTTGTTTGGTTTTTTGTTATTGACTTGTAGGA